ATGTTGGAACTGCGCAGAATAAGCTTACTGCAGTCCCAAAAGTTACATATCAACAATATGTTTGACCACAAATAATGTTGCCTGCAGCCTGCTTCCTCCTTTATATGCACACAGTTATGCACAAAACTGTTTGAGTTTATTCTCGGGTTTCGCTGGAAAGCACTAAATTTAAAGAGAGTCTTCTTGACTCAGATGCATGTGCCCTTATAACAGTCGCTGAACTCTAGTGGTCATCCGTTTTTGTTTATTGAGTCATTAAGGATAAAGAGCCTTAGCAAAATTGTGTCCCATTTTCATTTGATTTTACCGGTTGAAGTTTGGTTTTGGAAGAAAATGTTTTTTTTGGTCGGGTTCGTTGCTTCCACGCACTCAGACTCGCACTTAATCGGCCTTCAATTATACATTTAGGTGGTTCAAGCGAGCGTTGCCAAACGACAGATTGACGTGGCTAGGCTGAACCAGGAAGCCAAACGTCTTGGTTTGGATGAACCTTCTTCCGTTGGCACTGACACCAGTCTTGACCAGGTGAATGAGAAGCGAATTCCGCGGCTTAGACAATTAAATTCTTCCTGGGAAGGACTGAAGAGATCTGTCAAGGAAAAAAATCTTCAACTTGAAGAAGCCATTAGAGAGGTAGGTTGTCCCTATTTTTCCCTGTTATTTTCCACTAACTTGAAACAATACGTGTTGTGTGTGTGTTAATTGTGGTTAAATTGTCTAGTAGACCTATGAAGGCCATTTTTTACAGATGGCCATCGATATTGAAAATCGATAGCGATTTAACTGTGCATACTCTCTATTTACTTGTTTTAACAGGCCCAGAAGTTCTACAGTCAACTGGATGAACTCAGACGTGACTGCCATGTCCTTGAGGGTCACATCCCCACTTCCGGCACTCGCGTTATGGGTGGTCTTCCAGACAGTGCGAAACAGAAACTTGGTCAATTTATGCGAGCCTACAATGCCATCGAAAACCTAGGAAATCAGGTAAGCGACCAGGTGGACTCACTAGTAAACTCTCCCTTCTATATATGCTTATGTCTTATGATTGGGGTTCACAGGGCGTGTTCCTCCCTTTGCGTCTATGAGAACTTCCTTTAATCCGATCAGTCCTGCGGTGTTGAATATCTCGATCACACTCGACAGAAAAACTGGACAGGGGGCTTGATAGTAGAGTGCTTTCGACAAAACTAGATGACCGGGTCCACCAGACCCGATTTTTTGTGGCTGGCTAACGAGGCCTGATAAGGCAGAAATGTCAAATATAGTAGAGCAGCAATCACTAATCATGTTAGTGGTCG